TGGGGTACCCGACGTCATCTGGGCCAGTCGGTTTCCCGGTAGCCTTGGATAGAGCTAGGTCGAGTTCCCGTGGCATGAAAGGCCGATTAATCTCCAGCGGTAGTTCATCCTCTGGGATGTAGCTGCTGTCCAAAGAGTGCATCGAAAGGTTTTTTGCACGACGAAAGCAAGAGGCAAAATATTCCCCCATAGCGTGCGGCTTTTCCGTTTGCAACTTAATGCGTTGACCTTACCGCACAGGACAGTGGCCGTCTGGCCAGCATTAATGCTGTCTAGAATCTGCTCCCAGCTTGAACTCTTAGCAGACCGGATAGTTTGTCGGCACTCGTTGCGTTTTGCTATGTAGGTGGTCATGGCCGCTTCTTTCGATGGATGGTCCGAAGGTAGCCGGTAAGCAGCCCGAAGTGCCTTCCTTCTGGCTTTAACTGCTGCTTTGGTCTCTGGGGACCACAGTCCACCATGGTACAGACTTAGATCCCGGGTTGGGACTGGTTCGTGGAATTGATGAAAGTGCCGCTTGATGGATGGAGCTAATGAAGTCTTGGATACTGCCCGGTGTTGAATTGGACCATGCGGCGTCGGCGGACTTCTGAAAAAGGGGCCAGTCAGCCTGGTCGTATTTCCATCGTGGTTTACGTAATGTGTCCTGCGGTCGGTTATCGAGCTGGATTACCAGCGGGTAATGGTCACTGCCCATGGGATCATCCCCGGCATTCCAGAGGAGCCTGCTGACAACGCTGACGCTTGCAAGAGATACGTCTACAGAGGATTCCCTCTGTCCGCTGGTGAAAGTGATGGACCTGTTGTTAAGAACGACGAGATCCGAGGCTTCTGCAACTTCCATAAGTGTAGAGCCTCTGGAGTTGGTTTTCGGGCTTCCCCATGCTGGATGATGGCCGTTCATATCCCCAAGTACCAGAATGGGTTGTTCGAGGTCTTGAAGCAGATCGCTGAGGTGTTGTTTAAGGTTGCGTATCTTCCCGCATGGAAGATACTGACAACAACTGAAATCGGGACTGGATGTTCGAATGGGTGTTCAGACCGCCACGATTGGAAGGTCTGTGTCTAGATGTATGGTCGAAAACGGTATTGGTGCCAGGACCCTGATTGCCGCTGAGTGGAATATGTTTTCGTTTCTCTTTAAGGTCCACTGGTATTGACCGCTCAGCGTACGATTCATGCCGCTGACGGTGGCCCGGTGGACCTCTTGGATGGCCAGGATGGAGGGCATCTGATCACGAACTACAGGGCTGTTACAATATTTTCTAAATTTGATCCGCGAAATCCGCGATTTCTCAAAAGAAATTCGCGAATTCAAATACTAATCCACGACAAAAAAAAAACTGTTTTCATTGCCTAAAAATACCATTTGTATACTACTACATGGCATTTCAAGCTTATTGCATATAGCATATTAGATTTTGCCTGCTCTGAACTTAGCCTTCTTTGAAGTACCTTCACATTGATTTGAGAGCTTTCTATGCCTGTACCATTCTATGCCCAAGGAAGTAGAGAAATTTGCCAACCCGAAAAATTAATAGACCGAACGGGAATCGAACTCCGTCGCCTCCAGCATGGCCTCGCTTTGTTGCTGCGCCTTTACCGACTGAGCTAAAGGAGTATCGTTTGTATCCTTTGAAAAAAAATTCAGTTATTTATGAATGTTTTTTTTTATTATTATTATTATGGTCACTTTAACACTCTTGAATTATTCGTGACTTGTCCGGGGGGTGAGATTTGAACTCGTGACTTTGGCGTGGTCGCCCCCTAGTTTATGAATGTTTCTATTGAATAATACAGGGCTAGATTTGATGGAGCATTATTTAAAAACAAATTTTTGAAAGTTAACCTTTGCGTCTCTGACGTATTTTGCTGTCCTAAATGTTGTAGTTAATTTGGCGCTAGTTTTCTCAATTTTTGACCGATTCAAACCATACACCTCGCACATAATCGAGAAATTACCAGAGTTCCATAAGTCACACTTGTTGGTCACGTCGCGGTTCTGTATTTGCACAGATATTCCTTGGGGTCTGTCCAATGGTGAGACATTGTATTTTCGTTGGCAAATCATAACCGAATCATATATATGTGACTTTGTGGATCATGCACGACTTATTACTATGTGTACTGGAAATTATAGGTTTTACAAATTTGATTCTTTCTACTAGATCAACCAAAACTGCAATAATGTCTGTAGTATCGAAAAATGTCCAATCAGTTTCAAAGTGTCTATGTGGATCATGCATGATCTATTTCCGAGTAATCCAGATGTAAACCCTAATAAAAATTGTATGGTTAATTTGCTTAACGACGTGTTCTGGGTATCATCCAAACCATTTATAGAATAGTTCAATGATTTGGGTTATCATTCGTTTATGGTTATTTTTTATTAGGGAATTCTTCAAATCGTCCTGGAGTTCAGATAATTTGATCTACTAGATCAACCGAGATTGGGACAATGTCTTTAATATAGAAATATTTCCAGACAGATGCACAGTGTCTATGTGAATCATGCATGAACTATTGCCATGTATACCAGATGTTTTAAGTTCCCCAAATCGTTCTGGAGTTCAGATGATTTATTCTACTAGATCAACCATGACTGGGATACAGTCTGTAGTATCGAATTATGTCCAAACAGATTCGTAGTGGCTATATGGATAATGTTTAATTATTTCCACGTATACCAGATGATCTATGATCTGTAGTATCGAAATATCGATATGGAAATCCTTAGGAAATATTTGGCATACACGAATATAGGTTGGCATGATCCACATAGACACTGCAAATTTATTTGGACATATTTCGATACTACAGATATTGAATTAGGCATGGGTGATTTAGTAGAAACATAATCTGATCTCCAGAATGATTTCAGAACCTATAACATCTTGTATACGTAGCAATAGGTCGGGCACAATCCACATAGACACTTTGAATCTGTTTGGACATATTTCGATACTACAGTCATTATTGCAGTCTTGGTTGATATAGTTGAACAAATCAACTGAACTCCAGGACGATTTGAAGACCCTATAATATCCGGTATACATGGTAATTACCCGCATATATACGATTCGTTTATAATTTGACATCGAAAAATGCTATGTTCATATTGGAAATAAATAAAACATGAAAATGTCTCTCATTAGACAGACTTCACGGAATTTCCGTGTAAATCCGGTGTGAATTATGGAATTGAGATCATTTCTCGATTATTTGCAGGGTGTTTGGTTTGAACCGGTAAAAAATTGAGAGCCAAATGAACAACAAAATTGATGACAGCAAAATAATCCGGGACGGAGAGGTTACAATGAATTCCACAATTTTTGTGACAGCACATCAGTCCCTTCGCGATTTTCGCGACATCATTTAATGTTTCCGCGATTTTCGCGACTGAAAGTTCAAATCCGCGACAAATCAGCGAAAATCGCGAAATCCGCGCCTGTTGTAACTAAAGCCCTCTAGTAAAAGTATGGACGACTGTCAAAAGTTATTCCAATCGAACCGTCAAAATGCACTGCTTTGCTCGATTGGAACAACTTTTTTTCAGTTTTGTGGTGACAGTCGTCCACACTTTTACTAGAGTGCTTTAGTTGTAACAGCCCTGGAACTAGGATTTCTAAGTCTGGAAGGTTGTTATAAAAGGATAGTTTGTTCGTTGGGTTTCTAGTGTTGTAGAGGCAGAATCCTTAGGGCTCCCATTAGATGTCCTCTTACCGAGGGAAGGTTTCGTGAGGGCATAAGCCTCCGGTAGCCTTGTGTCGGACTGACCTGGTTGCATTCTACAACGGTTCCCCATTGTGAGGGTATTGGTCACTTTTTTATTATTTTAAAGTTACCATTGGTCACTTTTTATTTTCGTTATTTTAGTCGCTAACGTCACTACTATTGTATCAAATACCCACTACTAGCCCTGGATAAGACCAAATCGTTGGATGTCAACACGGGCAACCCTTCCAACTTTACGGTACACTGAACCAAAACATCCGCAATACTTCGAATGATTATTGCATTGCTCGAGCCCTTTAACAATATGCATTCGAATTTCGGATGATTTTCTTATGGTTGATGAACATCCATATGACTGTCATCACAACTGGATCTCGAATGCGGAGCTCTACCGTCGATGTAATCAGAAACCGATATCAACAGAAATTTAAGACGTGGATGTGGGTCGGCCACACACTACGAAAGGGCAGAAACGAAATCTGCTAGCAAGCGCTGGATTGGAACCCGGTAAGATATCGCAGCAGAGACTGACCCAGGATCATGGTGGCGGAGCCTCAAGAAAGAAATAAAGGAAGTCGACAGACCCAGGTCAAGACAATAAATGATGGCAACAAGTTGGACGAACAATTCCGAAAAAAATGACCTTAAGTTTTGTTTAGAGTCCAACTTTTTTTTTATCATGATGAGATAGAAAACAAATGTTCTTACATGTAATTTTTTGCAAGAATCTAAGAAGAAAAAAAAACTAGTTTTCACAGATTTTTGATAGGCAAAATGGATGTAATGTCGGCCCCAAATGCCCCTAATTTGGGCCCATACATAAATTCAGCAATCGACTAAATTTTCAATAGCGACCAAATCATACTAGAGTTATAGTACGTTCATAGTACGTTCAGACTACAGAGTTATAACATGTTATAGCACTATCTTGATGGTGTTTTCTGTGTTGCAATTATTTGACAACCGTTATAACATGTTATAACTCTCCAGTCTGGACAGCGTTTTATAACATGTTATAGTACGTTCAGACTACAGAGTTATTATAACATGTTATTGCGCTATCTTGATGGTGGTTTCTGTGTTGCAATTATTTGACAACTGTTATAACATGTTATAACTCTCCAGTCTGGACAGCGTTTTAAGGTTATCATAATTATCAACACATGTTACACCTCTCCGGTCTGAGCGAAGCATTCAATTAACAATACAAGCAAAACAATAATATTGTCCTATACATTTGACAGTAACATTCATGAACAACTTACCTCTTCAGTGCCAGCTGCTTCTCCGTTCGACTCATCCGAATTCGCTTGTCCGAGTTCGAATAATCATTCGAACCACTCTCGTCCAGTACGACTTCCGGAAGAATCGGTTCGCTTTCAAAATCTGCAAAAAAAAAACCCCGTTTAATCAAGAAGCAATAAATAAGTACTCTTCCCCAACACCCACCTGGATCATCGGGGAGGAACCCCGGTTTGGCCGGTCCATTGATGAAAACCTTATCCTCCGGATAGTCGTAGAACAACACCAGCGCCGACGGGTCCTCGCTGCGCTTGTTCCGGATCGCTTCGTCACAACGGCGGCAACTATCCCGGAACCGTATGATCTCCTCCAATCGCTTGGTGCACCGCCGGCAAATGGCACAGGGAAAGTCCTCCTCCAAACTAAGCCATAGGCCCACACACTCTCCGATGGTGTTGACGAACGGAAGATCCACCTCAGTGCCGAACGTACGGATTACCCAATGGATGCTCTTCTGCGAGAAGCACAACCGGCAGAAACGGGTCGGATCATTGGATGGGCTGTGCATTTGGAATATCGAAAACTAGGTTAGAACACTTGGCGAGCAATCAGGGCACTCAAAGGGGGCAAAACTTACACTTCCGGCAGGGTTTGTGCCATGGTGGAAAACTGGTGAAAAAGTGCGATTCAAGATGGCTAACGAAACGCCTATTTTTCATTGAATATGTGCGCTTTGTTTACGCTACGATTCTCGGTTCGATGACAGTTGTTTACATTTTCCGTGAAAAAAGTGAAAAGGGGAGACTCGCCTCGCACTGGACACCTTCGAGAATGACATTTGTACAAACGTTCTTCTTGACGCCACGTTGCCCTATAAATAATTATTGTTTGTGACAGTGACATCAGCTTGATCAACATTCCGTTTGACATTTTCACAAACAATGTAAACAACAACAACAACAAGCCCGAGTAAAAATTTATCACCAATGGACAACTACTGTATCAAGCAGTTTCATAAGATTTCACAAGAAATCTCTACACAGCAAAAAAAAAATGTAATATCGATCAACGTAATTCAAGCTGATGTATGAAATAATGATGTAATAGCAAAACGCAGATACAATATTACATCAATGGATGTAATTTTGTTCGCAAAATCGATGTACATTGTACAATGTGATATTACACAACCGATGGATTGACCTGGTTGCAGCAGTTTCGATGTAATATTCAACAACTTTTTTTGCTGTGTACATATACCTCATGGAGAAATTTCTTTCTCTTTGATGAAATGTACCTACCTGCATTCCAATGTCCTTTATATATAAACGTCATTGCCCGCATTCAGCTGCAGGACCAACAAATTACGATTTTTTAAATTGACCACTTTGTCAAGCAGTTTTGGCGTGACTTTCTACCAGCGATTTCACAAAACTGGACCAACTAATTTCTATTTTTTTTATGAAACGCACAAATGTTGGATACTTTTCTCGTGGTTCTAGAAGAAAAAATCTCAAATAATGTTTTATTTCAAAGTTCGAGTGTCATTTTAACTGCTCGAATGAAGTGGGTAATGCATTACATCATTCGAGCAGTTTGAAATGACGTTTCCTACCACTCAAACTTTGTCGTGGTCGTATGAATAAAAGCGTTTACTTTACTTTTCCCATAAGAAAAGAACGGGAAAGTAAACTCTTTTAAATCATACGGACAATTATTAAAAATATATATTCCAGAAACCTTGAGATTTTATTCATACTGAGCTAAAGATATCATTAATTGATTGCTTAATTTTCTTAAAATCGTTGGTAGAATGTCGTCTCAAAACAGCTCGACAATATGCCCATATGGTATTCTATCACACGGTATCGGTCCCCCCCCCCCCCCCCTTAACCCCTCTCCACGTAATATCGAGTTGCGGAGAGTTGACTGTAATGATTGGAAGTTCTTTGCCAAATTGATTGCTTGAAGCGGCCCCAAACTACAACGCAGAGTAGTTTATTCATAGCCCTAAATAAATAAAGAAATTACCTCAATCGAACTTCCACCCGACCGTCTTCCGCTGGAACTCCGCCCCATCGCCGGCCGTTGCCTGCCGGTTGATTTCCTGGTGCCGTTCTCGACTAACGCACTCCTCCAGGATTTCCCCGTCGCCTTTGATCAGCCGTGTCCGACCCGTTTCCGGATCGACCACCCACCGGATGACAGCCTGGCGCGCTTCATATTGCTCCCTGGTCTCCGGTGCCCGCGCCCGAGTATTCATCAGGTCCAATGGAACGCCACAGTCATCTTCGGGAGGCCGTTCCACCGAAGTAGTTGCAGCTGGTTTGTTTCGTTTTTGCTCCTTCTTCTGCTGTTTACGGAGCCGTTTTTCGGCTTTCTTTTGCTCCCGCTCTTGCTTTTTCAATGCTTTCTTTCGGGTTTTGGCTTCCTTGCGTTCACGTTTGGCTTCCTTCTTCAGTGCTTTTTTGAGCTTCCTTTTTTCCTTCCTATCATCTTTTCGGGTTTTCTTCGACTTTTTACGATCAGGACTGCTGCTTCGACTCCCACTTCTTGAACTGCTGCTGCTACTGTCGCTGCTGGAGGAACTGGATCTGCTTCTTCCACTGCTGCTATCGCTACTACTGCTGTTACTACTGTCGGAGGATGAAGTTGAATCCCGGCGAGACTTTCGCTTGGATGAGGATCGCTTCCTGCTGATTTTCATCCTGGCGACTAATTCCAGGAATGCGATAGTTTTATTATTTATTATTAATAATATCATTTAAATATTATACCGTCTCCAAACTCCAAACTACTGCTGCTCCGTTCCGTGATTGTTTTGGTTGGTCACTTCTTTTTTGTGTTTACTTCGTGCAGGTGTTTGTTTTGATCGTTCTGATTAAAAATCAAATTTTGTGTGTTCGATGTGTGTGCGTGTGAGCGCTGCACGCGCAAAGGGCGTTGACGGCACCGTCGAAAAATCTAGCAAAGATTGACAGTTTCTTATGCGATTTTTTTGTGGAGTGAAAGGATAGTACGAAGTCCGTCATATTTCACGCACAATCTGACGTTTGCTTATGGATTTTACCAAAGGAGTAAAGAGCTACAGAGTCACCATCAACACCAAAAAGAAATATCTAAATCCTACACAGAAAAACAAAACTACCCACCGCTTGGGTTTTTTGAACTCAAATTTGAGTTATTTGACCTCTGCCCGTTTCATTTTCTCTCGCTATTGTTGTCAAAAATAGAACGAAAGATTCGACTCAAACGTCTAGTTCCGTACGAGAAGCCAAAATTGAGTAATATGCGATATACCCAAATTTGAGTTAATTGAACTTAATTTTGGGTAGAAAAAATTGAAAATAACTTAGCGATGGGTAATTTTTTTTGCCGTGCTTAAATGCAAACTACTTTGAGCCGATTTACCCAAATTTGGCTTATCGTACACTCAAAATTATTACTAAATGAAGAAAGGTTAAAAAATAATAATTTTATGGTTAAGTAATGTTTATACATTGATTGGATTAAAGCTTCCCGCATAAACGCGAACCATAAATTGACCTTACCCAAAATGGTTAAAAATTGTTTATAATCCCTGCTAAACTTTAACTGAAATGGTTATGGAACTTTACATGAACGTTTAATGATAAAGTTTCAACCTTATGTATTATGGTTTTTTGGAACTGGACCTTACAAATAATGGGTTGTTAAGAACCATTACCGTTCCAAATTCTTGTTTTCTCCATACATTTTCGGAAAGAGAACTATATTAGAACCTTTTAACTTATGGTTTGAGAACTTTAATGGTAATGGTTATGGTAGTCAGTAAGGTCCACGAATGGTTTTGTAACATCGATCAACTTTATGTGGAATATATCGCGAATTGGTACCTGTAATTTACTGATATCCAATTCACGATATATTCCACGTAAAGTTGAGCGATAATACAAAACCATTAATGGATCTTACTGACTACCATAACCATTACCATTAATGTTCTCAAATCATAACTAAAAACGTTCTTATATAGTTCTCTTTCTGAAAATGTATGGAGAAAACAAGAATTTGGAATGGTAATGGTTCTTAACAACCCATTATTTGTAAGGTCCAGTTCCAAAAAACCATAATACATAAGGTTGAAACTTTATCATTAAACGTTCATGTAAAGTTCCATAACCATTTCAGTTAAAGTTTAGCAGGGATTATAAACAATTTTTAACCATTTTGGGTAAGGTCAATTTATGGTTCGCGTTTATGCGGGTTGGCTTAAAATTATACTTAATTAGAATAATGTTGCGGAATGCATTCAGTGTATACGAGGTAAATATACAAAAAATGGCAAAGTTTCACACATCATGTAAAACTCTATAGTGGTCATTCGTTCAGTATTATTGTTTGTGTCTTTATTTATTTGGAAATATTGGAAGAATGATCGTTAAATCTTTCCGGCTTGTTGGGTGAGTATGAGCAGGTTTATAATGCTGGACCTCCCAAATAGCATGTACGTGGTCTTCGGGTCCAGCTTATACTGTATAAATTTCATTGTTTAAAAAACAGATTCACCTCCTCGAATACACCGGCCGTCATCATCGCTGAGGGAAACCCAAGGAACCAATCAAGGCAACTTCGGACCAACCCCATCAGGCTTTGGCGACCAGTTCGAACCGAAAGCTGGGTCATGGTCTTGTTCTGGATGCTACACCAACAACAAAGCCGATGATCTGTGCTGTGTGACACTCCCCGAGATACAACCGTGCCCTATAAGGAAAACAAAGGAGTTCTTGGAGGTAACACTTCAAAATTCAGTCAATAGGCTCAGTTTCACTACGACTTCAAGCTTTATAAAATTCTGATAATGGTTCCCTCATTCCTTTAGAAACATCTTTGATCCACATAACGTAAAACTGGCTGTACTATTCGCCAACAACAACGCTCTGGTGTTCGACTTCTGGACGACGTAGGATGCGTATGGAATCGATCGCAGCAGATACGATGCACTGGCAAATATCCGGCAGTCACAATCTGGCCGCAAGCCTCCGTTGGCTCAGTGCAGTTATCATCAATGCATTCGTATAGTCAGTTGCCGAATTTCCCACTCCCCTAACTGATGTTGAGCTTCGGCATCCTAATGACTGCAGTTTCCAAGCGTAAAACAAACGACGCCTACCTTTCTGATCGTAAAGTTGGTTTGTTACGACGAAGGGAATGCCATGTACAGCGTAGTGATTCAGATGTTTTTTTTTTGTCAGGCTGAATAACTTGTCGACGGCACAAGATGTACTGCAATATTAATTCGGAAAAATAAACGTTATTTCGCATGATAATTTTTCCTCGGATTTTTCTTTGTATTGATTCTCAATAATAACAATAACAACATTGAAAAGACAGTGCTCAAATATGTATACATTCCTTAGATTATCCAACAATAAACAAAAACTGCATAAACGCACTTTATACTATTCAATGTATAAACCATTTTTATACTAAGTGCGTATTCTCTCCCTTTATACCGAGCTATGGGTCGGTCAGGAGAGTTGCGATTTAGCGTAGCTTTTATACTATTTAGAATTGAATATTTTTTGAGTGTACGGAACATGGGAGATGAGTGAAAAGAACTTAATTTTGGGTTGTTTTGAATTTCTGTGTAGTGCAAAAGTAATGAGCAGTATGCACAGACAAAATGAAGACTGAAGGAACTTATAAAATTTTCACTACCTACACTGATACAAAATCAATTGGCAAAAATACTATATTGCTGGTTTAAATTAAATACCCTCACCAATAGATTTGTGCAGAAAACAATTTCATTTAATTTTACTATTATTTCTATCAAAATTACTATGCATTTTGAGCAAGCATAGTAGTTTCGCCAAAATCATAGTAAATTGTTTTACATTCGTAGTCAACTATACTGAATTCATAGTAGATTTAACAGTAATAAGCGTGGTTATATTGATAATAAGTGTTTTCTGCAAAATAGTATTTCTAACTATGATCCTTGTTTCAGTGTACACACCCAATTTGTATTAGGTTTTGCACCGTCGGGGTTAACCTCAATCTGATGACAGTTTAGTGGTACTGTTTACGTGGACTTAGGCTGTGAACCATTTGCCGAGTTAAATTTAACTCGTAGTTAAAAGTGACATTTCGAAAGTTATTTCTTATGTTCGAAAATCCCCGTGCTGTCGATCGACCGGTTTTCGAGCCAGGGTCGTCAAAATTTAACTTCTTGTCTGTCAGAAATAACCACGCTCGGATAGCAGGGTTAATCGATAACTTTCCATCTGTCAAATTTTAACCAAAAGTTAAAATAATCCACCAAATGGTTCAGAGCCTTAGCCGATTTTTTCTTGGGTGGATTTTCTCGATAATTTTTCAGACTGCAGTGAGATGTAAACCACATTTCTGCAATGTTCACGAGCAACATCCTTGCAATGCGCTGTTCCTCGACAATTTTCAAGTTAAAATTCGGAAATTTTAGATTTTTTTTTTTGAAAAAACGACTAAGTGCTTGTAAACAGTACCACTGAACTGTCAAAAAGGTTCAGCCGATTAACACTGAGTTTATTTGTGACGTCACGCTGCAGAACCTAATTGCCGTAAACCAGCAATATTTTGCTGGACTTTCCTAATAAAATTGTTATGGTTATTTTGCTTAACGACGTGTTCTGGGTATCTTCCAAACCATTAGTGGAAAAGTTCAATTATTTGGGTTATCGTTCGTTTAAGGTTATTTTTTATTAGGGTTTGCCGAACTGGAAGTTCAGTAATCCTTCCAGCAAAATATTTTTGCTGGATAACCAGTAAAATGATCTGTTAATTAAGTAACAGCACATCACTGAAAACCCAGCAAAATTTTGCTGATACTTCAGTAAATAGAAGCAGCAATTAATTTACAGTTGAAGGGAATGGAAAATTTTAGTTTCTAATTCATTGGATGTCACAAAATCATTCTAAATATCTTTATTTATTCAAAGCTTATCATATATCATGCTGGTACATGGTACACCAATTTTTTGATTAATTTCTATAGCAAAGCAGACAAACGTGTCTCTGATCCTGTCATCTTGCGATTTTGATTCGAGCTGCAAACATTGGGGAAAAACGATATTTTTTCTTGAATTCAGTATGGATTTTTATAAATATACTTGAAAAATGTTGCACTTACTTCTTGGTGACACACTAAACATCATTTCCAAAAGCAAATTTTGCTAGAATGGAACAAATTTGTTGCGAATATTTTAGTTGGTAATCAAACATACGACGAGTGAAATTGAATTTTCTAGAACTGGCATTTCATTTGACAGATCGAATACAATTTACCGAGTATCCAGCAAAACATTTCAGAATGCTGGATGGTCGGTGAAATGTGATTTTGCTGGAACCAGTTCAGAAATTTAGTTTGCTGGAACTTGAATCTAAATTTTGGTGTGATAACACACCAAGATGCACTAAGAGCAACCGTACCAATGAGTAAATAATGCACATTTACCAACCTCTATCATAACGCTACTTGCGTACCGGGGGTTGTTATTCAGGTGGGGGAAATAGCAATCCGCACCTTGGGAAGTAGTGAGTTCATAAATTTAGCAACCCGGTAGCAATGCTATTTTGAATAAAGGTCAAAAGTTTGTTTTGCCGGTGTGGAAAACGGTAACTTAAATTATGACTCTGATAGCAACGACCAGTGTGGAGAGGAGTGATTAAGCCAAAATGGAAACGCTGTGCGTAGGTAAAATAGTGTCGCAAATGGCAGCGACTGGTACGGTTGCTCTAAGCCCAATAACGTACTATAAACCTGCACCGCCTGCACCTGACGCACTTCTCAAATTATAGTACGCTCAGACTACAGAGTTATAACACATTTAGTGTGACTATTAA